TTGTCGCTCTTATTTCGATCTCGGGAATAATAAATAATATGGAAAAAAATATAACTAGAGCTGTGAACAGCACTGAGCATGGCCCGTGATACTTTGCCTGATAGCTGTAAGACTTTTTTGAAATTCAAACCTTCTCAAGCCCGGTGTTGACTCGACCACTTTTAGTAAAGAGCCAAGCTAAATGAAATGTTTTGTGAAAGGGTAAATTCAATCTTGTATCAATATAACGTGTCGTATGGTTAATTTAATAGCTTCATGGTAGCTATAATATACAGGTATGTGTGAAATGTGAACATTATGTGACGGAATTTCTTTACTGATATAAACATGATCTATAAGTGTCCCACCTTCAGTAGTGTAATGCTGAACAAGTTGTTGAAAACCAAATTTTTGAAAACAATTTAGTATAGACAAATGACCCTGCAAGATATTTTGGTTGAAATCCCCCATAATAACATAGTCTGAACCAGATTCTTGTATTTCAACTAATAATCTTTCTAACATTGGGAGAAATAAATCTAATCGATAAACGGGTGGTCTATAGATAACAATTACGTTAATATTTTTATCCAAAATATTCAAAGCAATGTGTTCCATATTTAAAATTCCCAATTTTAAAATGTTGACATTTTTGTTTTGCTTATGATATACTCCTCCTCTGCTGCTGCTGCTGCTTCGAGGATTGTGGTGAAGACGGAAACCATTAACTTTAGTTTTGCTGGAGTTATTGATTATTTAGCTTTTTGTTAAACAAATGATATCACCTTTTAGCATTTTCCTCTATATGAATAGATAAACCCTGAACATTGTGTAAAATTATATTAGTATCAGTTGATATGGTCTCGTTTTCAGGTTTTAAAAAAGTATCCATCGCTCCTAATGCCGATTCAATTTTTTCATCACAATATATGTTTTTTTTCCGTAAAATCTTGTATTGTAAGACCCTGTAATGTTTTAACTCTGCTTAACGCAACATAGGCTTGACCAGCTTGGAATATTTTATGAAGTGATATTACGCCTCTTACGAGACTTACTGTACTTTTTGAATAGTAACTGCAAAGGCGAGACGTAATGGGAACTGGCGTCTAACATCGCCCTTATAGTTAACATAGGGCTCTCATACCTATCACTACCACGTGGTACATTTGGCGGAAGTGGATCTCTGTCTTCATTTATTCCAACTTTAGCATTATCAAATTTTACAAAAATTTTGTCAGTTTGATTATTCTGATCAGTTTGAATGAATGTTACTTGACCAAAACTTCCATTTATCAAGCCAGTAGAAACATTAAAATTAATTACTAACATAACTTTGACCCTACACCTATTTTAAGCAAGACACTAATGGTGTATCATTCACTTTAACACATGTGGTTTTAAGCGTCATTTTAATTGTTCTAACATCTTTTGAATAATCTAGAGCACTGATGGACACAGAATTCGGGCATTTTTCATCAATCATTCTAGAATTATAATCATCAACTTGCTGATTAGTAGAAAATTTGTGCAGACAATCATTCTTGACCAGTTACCCTACTCTGTAACATTTTGACGTTTGAAGCAAGCATTGGTTCACTTTTCTTTAGCAAAGGCTAAATCATCTTTTTGTCTCATAATTTCAGTTCAACAAGTTTGAAATTACCGTTCCATAGATCTGACACTTTCATGACATAAACCATTACCTTTAACTGGTCTTAGTTGCCACATATCTCCAAAACATATGACACAGATATTTCCAAATAACTCATCGGTAACCTTTATTTGCCTTAATCGCCCATGAATGTAACAAAAAAGCTTATGATCTACCATTTAAATTTCATCTATAATTAATATTTGTAAGTTGCGATATTTACATTTTAATGTATTAATAGTTTCTTGTCCCAATGGTTGAAAAACTGCTATGAATAGTTGACGCTACAATCTTAAAAGCACTCACCCCAGTTGGTGCGGTTAAGAGAACAGTGATGTCATCTAAACTTTCCGCAGTTTTCGCAAAATTCGAGACGCTTCGTATTGAATACATTTGTAAGGTGAGATTTACCGGTACCAGCTGAACCAGTAACAAAGATTCTAAATGGATCTAAATTGACCTTTATCATATAAAATGTCGGGAATTTGAGGTGTATTGTCATCGTCATTTTGCAAAGGTCGTGAAAATTCGAACAGGTAAATGTAGTGAAAATTCCCTGCTCTAAATGAGCGTTTGTTTAAATATTGTAAGTGAAAATATAGCACAACTCGAAAAAACATGTGAATTATTATAGAGCTAAAAGATTATGTAGTCAGACTAATTTATTTATGACCTATAATAAGCTTAACAGACGACAATAAATGTTGTTTGCTTTCATCCCCTCAGCATAACACCAATAACCAAAAATTGCTGTATAATGTATCTTGCAGAGAGAGTTCTATTACTGGAACAGACAAAATTCGAACTGGTTAATGTATCAAAAAGTCACTGCTCTAAATAACTGTATGTTTTATTATCATAAGGGGAAATTTTGCAAAAAATTCCAAAAAAAACTGTGAATTATAATAGAGTTGAAAGATAGTGTAATTAGATTAATTTATTTATGATATAATAATCTTAGCAGAAGATAAAATTGCCACTTTCTTTTTATTGCTAAGGATTAGCGCAGTCGGAAGCCACTTGAATTGGTGCCTGCTAGGCAATTAAGTGCTGTGGGTTATAATCCCGCTCTGTATTCTGATTCCACGGTCAGTGTTTGCTAGAGACAGCCCGCTGTTTGCTTTTATTCCCTCAGCCCAACGAACACCAATAACCAAAACTGTTGTGTGTATCTTGCAGATAGCGTTCTATTAATGGTACAGAAAAAATTCGAACAGTTTAATGTATCAAAAATTCACTACTCTATGTGAGTGTATGTTAAATTATTGTAAGTGAAAATTGAAAAAGAAAAATTGAAAAAAAAAGTTATTTTTTAAGCGTTAAAAGATTACATAATCAGATTAATCTGTTGATGACCCAAACTACTTCACACCTGCATGTCAAAAGTTCATATGGATAGCTTTCCTATCATATTATATAACCTGTTATAACACCTGTCAATCATTTTAATCCCCACAATCTACAGATTTTTATCACATTTTTTTTATAAACATTTAACACTTTTATGCCTATTTTCACAAATTCAATTTTGTATTAAACCACCCATGTTACATATCGTTGAAAAGAGAAAATTGAGTAGATACTGAATATACAAACCATATTGTTAGGAGTTAATTTCATTGTAAGTTAGAACCCTCAGTCGAAAAAAAAACCAATATTTTTAAAACATATTTTAATGGATTATTGTCATATATCATTGAAAAGATAATCAAGAGGGAATTACAAAATTTCTGTGTTTATTAGAAAAGGTCAAACAGCCGCCCAAAGTTGTCAAAAATGTTAATTTTTTAATGGCTATTAAACCGGAAGTTAATATTTTTCAACCAATATTAGTACACCTGTGGATAGCTGAGGTCAAGAACATCCTACAGTGAAATTTTCAAGGTCATCGAAGGTCAAGGTCACATGGTGTGGCCTTTTGAATTTTCAACAAATTCAAACAAATATAAAAAAATTCAAATTCGAAATTCAAAATTCTGTTCCAACAAACTGTAGACAAGGTTACAAGGTTTTAATAGACACCAAAATCATAAAAATCGGATAAAAAATGGAGGACTCATTAATTTTTTGCTAAAATGGGTCAGTCCGAGGCTTATGCATCACTTCCGGTTTAGCAAAAATTGAGTGTTAGATATCCATTTTTGATTCCAGGTCATTTAAAAATGTTTGGTGAAGACAATTATGCTATACCATTTTCGATTTTGTCTTGGGGACGTTCCCAAAAAAAAAAACAAAAAAAAAACAAAAAAAAATAAACATAACGAAAACAAATCGTGACAAATCGATGCCACGCAATTAAAAAGATTTACTTCATTTACAAAATCAGACTCGTGATATAGACTACTGCATGAACTGAGCAAACCTGTATTTGCCAACATTTTTCTAAATGATAACTTGATAACTGTTAATGTAGTAAACCCTTCGTATTATATTTTTTATCCATCGCTGTCCATAGACTGTCATGTTAAATCGGCGTTGTCTATCTTGAAACTAATGTAGTAAATGGGCGTGTTAAGCATGCGTATTATAGTTTGCACTGGCTTATTCTTATTCAATAGGCCTGTCACTGTTACGATATTTCACCTTATTCATTCAAGTTCTAGATTTTTTTTTTGATGAAAGTAAAGTTAGAAACAGACACGTTTATCGAAACAAGCGTAAAACACAAGTCAACATCGATCATGTCATGAAGCTGATGACATAAAAAAAAATGGCGTAAACCCACTTCTTTTCGCTTTCTCTTCTTACTAGCGCCTCTTTCTTTAAAAGACTTGGGTTACATTGATAAAAAGTGAAAATCGTTTGAACAGCACCCCTTTTCAACAAATTTCGACCACCGACGTAAGTTTGTTTGCATCTCGTTCGAATCACTCACTACTGTCAAAATGAGCTGAACATACTCGACTGTGCTTTGTGGGTTAAAACTTGTCACTTCATGTTGTGAGTCGATCGTTTCCTCAAAGACGGATCACTTGGAAATAAGAAGAAACTTATCCCTGGCGTCGACGACTTATTCTTTGATGAATTTGTACACCGAAGGCAGCACAATAAACCATTTTGGCGATGAGATGAACACGTTACGCCTAACGTCAAAACTAGGTTATATAACGACTACTATTTTGATGAGTATCATAGATGACGTCATTTCCGAGAGATTCCAAAGCTTGCCGGAAAATATGCACAAAAACAACGCTGCTCATAATTTTTCTTTATTTCTTTTATTATTAACAGATTAACACATTTATTGTGTGTACGGCTAATAGGGGGCATTTGTCATATTAAGGAGTTTTCGGGCATCAAAGCAACCGATGCACATAACCTTATCACTCTTATTGACTCGAAACTCCCTATCAAAGAAACTTTGTGTACGATGTTGATTCCACAAAACTGTTATTGTATAAAGGAAACAGAGTGGTTTTGGTTCAGTGAAGAAAGGAGGGGGAAAGTCCCCTACGGTAATGATATCGTAGATTCAGAACAGGTAAAGTTGTCCTAGTCATTTGTAACGCAAAAAAAATCGCTTAAGGAGGTGTTGAGATTCAGTTTGAGGATATGTTTCTTGTACGCACGATAGAGACTACAGTTTTGATCCGATCTTGATGAAACTTGTATATATATCAATGAAGTTCGAAATTGGTTACAATCAGATCAGTGGTTTCAGAATTATTGCCCTTGACTTAGTAAAACGTGTCAAATTTGACTTGTAAGCACGATAGAGACTACAGTTTTTATCCGATCTTAATGAAACTTGGTATGTACGTAACCATTGATGAGATTTAAGTCGAGTTCGAAATTGGTAAGGTTTGGAGTTATTGCCTAGACAGTAAAAACGTGTCGAATGTCACCATTTCTTCATGTGAACATTGTATATGAGTTTTTTCATCTTATTCTGATAAAATATCAACAATACCAGCTTATTCTTATTATGTTAAGACCCGAGAATAAAATTTGGAATCAAAAATAAAAAACCGATTCACAAAAGTAGTATAATACCCCTTTTACACTAGGCCCCGATAAAGAGAGCCTGGTCCTGATCGGTGCCTGGCTCCGATCAAAACGTCTGTTTACAAAGGCGTTCTGTGATCTGGGTCAGGCCAACTTTAAACGGAAATAAGCGTGCGCTCTCTAATTAAAAAGATTACAAAAGGTCCATGAGGATTCAAAATGGCGGACAATAACAATAATTTTCGAGATTTATAATGGCCGCCGATACGGAAGTTGTAAACCCTGCACATGCGCAGAAGAATTATCGAGCCAGGCACGCATTCGTTTTACACTAGTAGAATTGAAGTGGGCCAGGCACTTCTTATTGCGGTGCCAGGCCCAAATTAAATTGGCTCGCTTTATTCCGTTTACACTAGTCAATGAGGGCCTGGCCCACTTTATCGGAGTCGAGTGTAAAAGGGGTATTAGTGCTTACAGATCTACAGCACTATACGTCACTTCGTTCCGTACTACTGTAGATCACCCTACAGCTTTATTAATTCTTTAAAAAATATTGAAACAAAAATGTCTTTAATAAAATTATTTAATTAATTAAATTAATTAAAATTAATTTAACTTATCTTGGCTCAGGAGATATTAAAAAATCTTTTAGCTACCTGGATTTCTTTAAGCTAAATATTCGGGCAAAAAGCATCTTGTAGGGCATAAATACACCTGTTTAGATTTACAATCTTTACAAAGGTCATAATGACTTACACTTTACACAAAATACCTCACATTCCTTATTGATTGTGTTTGAACACGAGGATACACCTGTCGCTCGGTTATAGTATACTTCATTTCCCTCGTTTGACTTTGGAATTAGAGGGAAATTGATTTCATGCCGATAAGTGTTTCCATACTTTATTTATTGGTTGTATTGACTACCATTGTCGACGTGTCAATGTTTGTATGTTGAGTATGTGTTAACCTCACTTCAGGCTTAACTGTCAAGCTGTATAGTCCACAGTTTATTTTTTCATCATGTCTTCTGACTCTAAAGCTCCTTGGATGTTGACTAAGAGAGTAATATTACTCTTGCTTATATTTTCAAACAGTTGAAATCACAGAAAAGAGAATTAAAAGACTATATGGATAGTAAATCGCATTCAGAATTAGCATCTTTAAAAAAAGATATCAGTGGTAATAGTAAGAAGCTGAGGGAAGACAAAAGTTATGTTTGGAAAATTATTGATAACAAAGATAAATTTTCTAACAATTCTAATGTTTCGGATAAAATTACTCAGGCTTTATGGGGTTTAAGAACCGACAAATATGAATACTCTGAAGATATCTTGAAAGAATATTTGGAAAGGATTGCTAAAAGATCTAAATTGATCAATATTGCAGATTCTTCAGAAGGTGGGTGGGAAACTGTAAAAGTATATGAGTCGAATCCTTTAGCAGGCGATTCCGATGATGACAAAACATAAGTCGGACTGAAGCCACTGCTCTTACGAATAAAAAACCTTTAATTTTGAGGCTCAAACAACACAAATTCGAAAATTATTCAGGTGGAGCTATCAACCCTATAGCAAAAATATTCAACTTTCTTTCAAAAACAAATTATCCCCTTCACCACTTTCTTTGATTCCAGCATTAGTTTCTTTTGCTTGAGAGGAAAATGAAATGAATGAATTAAATAAAATAAGAGAATAAGGAAACAAGAGATTAGAAAAACAACAAGGAGTAAGAATCCATGAGATATTTCCTCATGTACTCAACGATATTTCAAAGATTAGAGAATCGGAAAAACAACAAGGAGAAGGATTCCATGAGATACTTCCACACGACCGCAACGCCTTTTCAAAGACTAAAGAATCGGAAAAACGACGAGAAAAAAAGTTTTAAAGTTAAAGGATAATTTCTATTCAAATTTTCACCTTTAAAAATGGCAAATAAAAATTACAGTTTACTTACACGATCCAATTCAATATTCATTTAAGAAGAAAAAAGAGGATTATATGATCATATGATGATTGGTTCTAAATTAATTCACTGTCGAATTGGCTGCTTCTTTCCAATGCTTATTGCAGATGCGATTTCAAAATCAAAGACGGAACTCACAATGAGAATCGTGTTCCCCAAACCAACACAACGTTAGAAAACAATTTCTTCCCACCTTTATTTAGCGAAATGGTTATGGAAGCTGGTTCAAATCCTATAGAAACAATCAAACACCCTAGTGAATTCGATACAATGCTGAAAACAGTTCTATAACCCAAAGATTTCGATTCATTTTCTGGGTGGATAACTGATGATGTTGGCGACGGACGTGTTTTAAAAGAACCGGTAAGAAATGTTCCTAATGATGCAGATGAAGCTAGAATGAGATTTATTGCTCGCAACACAATGGAAAGACGGGCGGGCAGTTAACCATGGATTCGAAAAACGAGTATTTCAGTACAACAATTCCGTTGATAATAATAGTTGGGGTAATTACGTAAATTGGAAGTTATATCCTCTATTCGGTCTGTTGAAACACAGAAAGGGTTACCATATAAAATTCATCTACGAAGAAAAATCAATGATGATAAGATATACTTTGGAAAGAATGCTTCAAATGCAAAATTAGAAATAACGAATCTCCAGCTGCATATACCTGACATAACAATTAATCCATCCACAAAGGATTATAATGAATTGTATAGAAACTACAAAAATATTTGTGAATTATTTGGAAATCCCCCTCAGTTTGAATATATAGATTTTGCACTTAATCACCCAATCTTCTGTTTTGATCTATCTTCTATAAGAAGATCTTTTCAAAACAGGTGTAAATATAGGTATTCATATCGAAAAAAACACAAGGAGATGTAACCGGTTATTGCTTATTATTAGAAGAAGCAAAACATTTGATTAAAATATCACATAGAAGAATGATAAGAATTGAGTAAAAAATATACCCCTTAAAAATGAAGGTAGAAACTTTAGTCAGGAATATAATAGAAGCTATCGAAAAGGAAACGCCAACTGTAATAACTTTCAATGGTAAAAAGATTAACATATCTAAAACACTTAATGCAAAATACAAAAATTGTAAAGTAAGAGATGATATAGAAATTGGAAGAATTGATATTTGATATTTAGTGGAATTATTGCAGCCAGTACAGTAGCTAGTGGTACAGCTGCCACCAAAAGGAAAGCAGCTGGTGCTGAAATCGCTGAAAAACGTACATATAATTTAGCAATGGAAAAGGAAGCATGAGGTTTAGGAGTGGAAGATATATTAGGCACAGTTAAAGAATTTGGAAAACGATTTGGCGAAGAAACCAAGAAAACTGTTAAACAAGGATTATATAGATTAGTATTGACACAGGAGAAATGAAAGTCAAACATAAGGGTAATGCTATAGTTTTAAAAAAAATACAAACTGGAGAGGGGGTCTTTCTTTCAAAGTATTAAGGAGATGGAGTGATTTTTGGAGCAAAATAAAGTAATATATAAAAAATAAGAAAGAAATTCAAACATTCAGAAATATTTCTAGCAACCCAATGCTCATGTGCATTTGCAGAAGTTCCGGTTCTGGGAAAACTCATCTCACTTTTATCATGTTGACAACACATATCACATTTCAATATCATGAAGACAGCGAAGAAGAAGTGAAAATAAAAGATATCATGGAGAACTTCATAAAAGCAAAGAATCCATCTTTAAATCCAACAGACATAAAAGTGTTTCTTACGAAAAATGTCAATGATCTGGACTTGTCCAATATTGATAGCAATCGAAAAAACTTAGTAGTCTTTGAAATCTGCGTAGCACAACGAAGCCAAGCTGTTCAACAAGAATTCTTCACGAAAGGAAGGCATCACAAATGTCATTGTATATATCAATCACAATCCTTTTACGGAATGGATGCAATGTTAATTAGAAAAAACGCAAATTGTTTTTAGTTATTCGAATTAAAGGACAAAAAGTTATCTCAAATTATTCAATCAATTAATCACGGAACGGATAGAGACACATTTAAAAAGGTTTGTAAAGCACAATGGAGAAACCCAGATGATCATGGATATATATTTGTAAATTCTAGAAAACCTGCAGGTGAAAGAGTTATGACTGACATCTGTTAATACAATTTTTTTTTTAAATGAGTAGTGATTGGAATAATATTTTAAAAAGAAATAGAGAATATATCAAAGCTAAGAATAAAATAAAGTTACAGGTTGAAAATAATAAATTACAACAACTTGGATTAACAGAAAATCTACAAACTCTATATTGGAATTGAAAGGGAATTAGCTTTAGAATATAGACCTACATCCACACATCCACATATAGATAACCCCGATCCAAAACCGATTGAATATAGTGGTTTTATAATTAGGACATTAGATGATATAAATCCTCTTTTTCAAACTCTGAACCAAATTTACCAAAGAGTATCACACCAATCGTTGATAATGAGGGGTTATTGTTTAATGGATTTAGAATAAAATTTCGTCCAAGTATTTATAATTCAAAATAGATACAAAAGGCTTTACATTTACATTAACAGAAGGATTTATAGATGCTGGTATTGCCGATTATAGGGATTTAGTAGCATATTCAAAATTTCTACATGCAATAAGAAAGTCAAGACCCGAAACAAAAAGATCGAAAGAAGTTGAGCTATTTATAAGTGTTATTAATCAAGATGATGAATATGAAGTTGACAAAGCAGAAGATTATGCTGAAGACAATTCAATCACACAAGAAATAGACAAATTCGAAGATATGGTCTCTGGACAAGGTATAACCTTTTTACCCGACAACAACGAGGAATTATTAGTAGTATATGTCTTTTCGGATATGACGCATTTCACTTCTGCGCAGCTTTTTCAATGCGTCATGAACATGAACATGAACAAAAGAAAATCCGAAGGAGATGGTTTCTTCTCTGCGCTATCATCTCTCATCCCAAAAGTAGCCAACTTTTTCTCAAACAATAAATCCCTCATTTCCTCTGGAGCGCAAGCAGGAGTAAATATAAGCGGTGCAGTTGAAAGAATTACATCATATAAGAGAAATGCGAAATAAACAAATAGTCAATGGTTTTAAAATTATTGGATAGATTTGTTCTGGTTTTTTATCAACATTTCCTTCCCTTTATTAAAGCGAGGTAACTCTTCTTTGGAAAAAAATGTTATTTCAGACCACAATTAACTTTTGTAAACATAAAGGGTGGACTGGTTTTATATATATGTTGAAACAAGAAAGCTATTTTGATGGAATAAGGGCTATGGAATGTTTTTTCTATCAATTATTCTTTCTATAGAAGGGAATCATGGGAACAACTGAAAAAGAAATTCAACAATTCAAAATGATCAAACATTGGAACTGTTTCTCCAAATTAAATCTTTTTAAGATGATTGAGTGAGTGTCCATATTTAACCTATAAAGGCAACACAACCATATTTTTTCTTTCTGTGATTAATTCATCTATTACCACCTCCAATTAGGTATTGAACTTAATTCCCTTTTTGGAAGTAATTCTACTAATTGGAAAGTATTCGAAAGTCTTGTAGAATAAACAGAAGGGATATTCAACACCTTCAATTTCAGGTATTCCCCTTTAAGGTTAATTCTCAGAGCGAAAAGTATATTCGAAAGTCTCAGAGAATTAACAAGGGTGCATGGAATTTTATCACTACAGATAAAGAAATTCAACAGTTTAAAATGATCAAACATTGGAAATGTCTCTCCAAATTTACTGTTTCTGAGATGATTGACTGAGAGTCCATATTAAACCTATAAAGTCAACAAAAAAACCATATTTTCCTTACTTGTGATCACCTCCAATTAGGCATTAATGCCCCTTTGGTAGTAATTCTACAATCAAGCCCGACAGCACCTGTCTTAGGTTGTCCTCCCTTCTGGAGAATCTTGCCCGTCATTGGTTAACTGTCGCGTTACCTGATGGTGTATATCAATTTTATCATAGCTTCTAGTATCGAAAAGTAATCAAACAATCTGTAGAATAAACAGAATGATATCCTTTGTTTTTGTCAATACCTTTAATTTCATATTATGATAAATGATTCTGTAGTGGTAGTAGAATAAACAGAAGGGCTACTCTGTTATTGTTTTGTCAATACCTTCAATATCCCCCTTTAAGGTCAATTCTCAGAGCGAAAAGTATATTCGAATGTCTCAGAGAATTAACGAAGGGTGTGTAGTGAGTATCACACAAGGAAGTAAATACGCAATTGTTGACTATATAGGTCAACATATAATTCACTAGTAATTCATCACAGAAACAGAAATTTGAAGATAGATTCCTTTGTCCGACATCTTGAACTGTTAAAAATAATGAATCTGTAGTGATTGGGAGATGATATATATATATAGAGAGACTACATATCACACACGGAAGTAAATACGCAATTGTTAACTATATAGGTCAACACAGAATTCGCTGGTAATACATCTCAGAAACACAAATTTGAAG